CTTGGAGGTATGCCTCCCTTAAATATAAATCAAATAATATTTTAAAATGCACCAGGAGAACTTACTATTACAAATAATAATATTGTGAATTTTTTGGAGTCAAATTCTGCAAATGGAAAAATAACTTCCTAGTTTTTTTTTTTAAACCAAATCAGTATTTCCATCTGTTGGATTGGCTTAAGAAAGAGTATGCCTGTTTACTGGAAACAAAATCTAAAATGATATTCTGAAAGGCAAGAGTGGTTTCTTGAGTTTTATTGAAGCCTTTTGTTTTAACATCTCAATCATTTCCAGATTTCCCATAAACACACATATGATACTCTTTAAAGTTTTAACTCACAAAAGATTATTTTCTGCTGAGGCATTTAAAAGGGGAGAATGTATTATGAAAAGAAAATGTAAAAAATATCAAAATGAATGAATGAATGAATGAAAAAAAGCATTGCTTAAGGACTTATGTTATGCCAGGAATAAACTGAAAAAAAAATTATTTGCATGGACTCCTCTTTTCTCGTTCCTCAATCAGCTGAAAAAAGGAAATTTCTTGATCAGTGAGCCTTCCCCTTTAGGTGATGAAATCTTTGGCATACAAAGAAGTAAACGAAAAGTACCCAAGTTATAATTGACTATAATATTATGCTCTGCAATGCTATTTTTTTTCTAGTAAATCTATTTTATGTATAAGTCACTTTCCCTTTAAAGTTGTCAATTATCTGTTTTCCAGTTTCTATAGATGAGTGAAGTTGAGTGGAAGGAGCACTAGGGTTCTGGATTCTACCTCTGCTACTTACTGGCTTTGTGACCTTGGGCAAGGCATTTAATCTCTCTGAGCCTGTTTCCTCCAGATCGGTCAACAATCAATCTACAGCATCTACTATATACTAAGCACTGTGCAAGGCATCGGGGATGCAAAGAGAGAAGTGAAGCTGTCCTTGCCCTCAAGGAACTTACATTCAATTGGCAGAGACAACATGTACATATATATAAATATAAGCAAAATATATACAAAATAAAAACAAGATAATTTTTTTGAGGGGAGATAGGGAAGGCACTAGATGCTTCATATAGATGAGGCATGAGCTGAGCTTTTGAAGAAATGAGGAATTTTATGAGGTAAAGGAACGGAGGAAGTGCATTCCAGGCACCCTAAGGACAGAAGATGGAATATCATGGCAGGTCGGGGCCAGGTTGTGAAGGGTGTGCCAAATAGAGGTATGCATATGTTTGATTCTAGACGTAATAGAGAGTCACAGTAGTTTACTGAGCAGAAAAATGAAATGAAAGACTTATGCTTTACTATAATCATTTTTTCAGTGGTGGAGTAAATGAGCTAAAAAAGGGAGATGAGGCACAGAGACCAATTAGGAGGCTACTGGGATAGTCTGGATGAGGTAATGAAGTAGGATGGTGAAAGGGCTTTGTAAACTAAGATGCAATATAAATGTTGGTTAATATTATTATTGATAATAATAAAATATTTGACATTTAACTAGTGCTTTATGATCTAAGCATTTTTTGCATATTATTACATGACTTTCAAAGCAACCCTGTGGTGAAGGTACTGCTTATATTACTGGCCCAATTTTGCAGATGAAGAAACTGAGATCCAGTGAAGTAAAGGGACTGTCCCAGTCACATAGCTAGTAAGTATGACAGGCAGGATCCAAACCCAAATCCACCACACTTTCTATCACAACCTCCCTAAAAACATCATTTCTTCACAAATTTAATTAAGCTGTGAATTTAAGTACTAATTATAACATTAAGACTTAGTATAAGCAAAGAGTACTTAAGAAACAACATAAACAAGGAGCAATTATGAACTAGTACCAGCAATAATTTATTTTCAAAGCATGGTATGCAGGAAGTCAAAAGCAACGAGGGAATAATTTATAGAATCTTTAAGAGCTGGAAGGACCAACGGGGACCTAGGAAGGTAATGGCTAATTTAGAAAGGAAGGACATTAATAAAAATGTTTTTTCCTAAATTATCAGAACTTGTAATAACCTACACAGTACAAAGAAGAATGGAATAGGATGGAAAAATAGATAGACAAAAAAGCATTGTATTGGTATCCCTGAAATATCAGAACTAGGGGAAGGCCTCTGGTGAGTTGGGTTAATCCTTTAATGAGGGATTTGCAGAAAAGGACAGATTCTCAAACCAAACAGGCTGAGAGGGTGTGAATAACTTGGGAGATGCACCAGTGGAAGAAGTACCCACACCACTCTTACTGAAGTTGTCCCCAAAAGAATTTATATTCATAAAGAACAAAAAATATAAAGTAAAAAAACTCAGCTAATCTCATAAAATATTTTAAATCAAAATTATTATTTTCATTCTATTTAAGGAAATGTTCTGATAAGAAATTTTTCTTGACAAAGATCACATCATTTTTTAATTAATATGGTCTATTCTCAGTTATGCACAGGAAGGCACAGATGACCTGCAAGAACAGAAGTCGAAAGTAATATAAATGTTATTTTCTGCATTTCATTATATGAGTTATTTTAAAGATCAGTATTACTTTCCTTGTTATGTTTTGGTGAGGGTAAACATTAAAAGAGTTTGAATTCCATGAGCAGTGGAAAAGTGTTTGGGAAACCTGGGTAACACAAGGAATCAAGGCGAAGATTTAAAAGATGGCTCCAGAAAACCAACAGACAGATATTCAAGAGTTGACTATACTTAGATATTTCTAACATCTCCACCTCTGGTTTTGCTAACATGTCCTTTTCCTGGTTATATTTGTACTACACAATACTGGTACACTTTGACAAGAACAACTGTTAGTCCACATCCAATGGAGGAAAGGTTCTTAACCTGGGACTGATTTTAGGGTTCCATGGATTTGGATGGGGAAGAAAATTACTTCTTTATTTCTACTAACCTCTAAGTTAAATTGAGCATTTCCTTCAATTATGGACATAGGCAACAAGCACTATTCTGAGAAATGGTCCACACTGTTAAAGGGATCTGAATGATTAAGAAATCCTGTTATAGAGGACTCTCTCTTCAGTACTGAAATACAGGTTTCTTAGGCCACACTCCATGTAAAAACCAACTGTCACAAATTTACCATGTGGTACTAATCAGTGTCTGTATTAGCACTAAGGCTTTGAATTGGAGGTAGATTCTGGGTTACTAGAAGTGTGGCTGGCTCCAAACACAGGGTGTTTCTGAGCTTCTTTTGCCCCAACTTCACCCTTTAAACTATGGCTATTGGGCCTTAGTCAACATATAAGTGTGACTATGGTTACCAGCACGTTTACCGTCACCATTCCTGGAGATATTCCTTATTCTCCTTTCTAGTACATAATGAAAGGTGAGAGAAACTAATATGAATAACTAATTATTAATTTGTGACCTACTCTTTTCATTTCTATTAAAACCCAATTCCTGAAAAAGTCAGCCCTTTGAAGGTCATGGCTGAGTGATGACATTTGCTCCTAGACTTCAAGGCTCATGCTTGTTGAATGGGACCCCAACAATTGGGAGACCTAATTTCTATTTAGAGTATAAAGAGAATCTAGTTTGGGTGATCTTTTGCCTGGAGGAGGAACCCTCTGTCCTTGATTCCTTCCATTACAGTGTAGGCCCACAGGGGTGAAGAAACTATGATTTCATGGCCACATATGGCCTTCCAGGTCCTCAAGTGGGCCCTTTGACTGAATCTAAACTTCACTGAACAAATCTCCTTCATAAAAGATTTGTTCTCTAAAACTTGTACTCGGTCAAAAGGTCACCCCCAGGGACTTGGCCACATGTGGCTTTAAGGCCGCAAGTTCCCTACACCTGAAAAGGGCAACCCAGCTCATGAAGGAGAAAACTAGACAGATAGGTCTGGATGGAAATGGCTTCCCCACCCAGATGCCTTGAGGCTGCGGAGTTTCATGATCAAGCCATGTTCTCAGCAGGAAAAGATGAAGACTTTTAACTTAAATGTCCACCAATCAGGGTTGATTTTCACTTGTCAGGTAAGTTCCCTTTCAGAAGGAATTTAAGGTTTTTCAGGGTCTCCCTTGAGGTCTTTGGTTACTGAGAGAAATCACTAACCATCAATTCATTGATTGCTGGCTGGCCTAATTAAGAAATTGATTATTAATTACCCAAAAACTCCTTTTCTCAGGGTTTTAATTCATCACAAAGGACTGTGGAATTTAATTACACGAAATATTGAGAATATTTTAATCTTCACTGACATATATGTGTATCTCTATAAGCATATATAGAGAGATACATTTACATATATATGGAGAGAGAGACAGACAGACAGGCAGACAAAGAGGCAGGCATTATTTTGTTAAAAAAAATTTGGCTGGATTTGTGATGACATTGGTATGGAACAGACACTCTCTTTGAGACACTTTACTAAGGCAGAGCTGCCTTTGCTCTCCAACTTCCCACCTCAGAGAGTCATAACCAGGGAGCTAAGAGGCTAAATGACTTGTCCTGGGTCATACAGAGGAGCTGGGCTTGGGGTAGTGGAGATAGAGAAAATACTATGAGACCCCAGTGAGATCCGGGATAGAATCCCATCTTTGATACCGTTAATTTAAAAAAAAAAAAAGGCAATTCCTCTAAGCAGCCTTGAGAAGAAAAAAAATTGCCAGATATTTTGTAAAATTATTTTATAAAAATATTTTAGTTGAGACTAAAAAGATATTGCTCCTTTAATAATAAATACATCTTGGGCTCTTAGAAAAGAAAAAAGATTTGATGTTTTTCAAAATTAATCTCCTTTTAGAGGATGTAAATGTAACAAGCTACAGGAAAAAATGTACTTCTCTTTAATGAATTTTGATTGCTTACTAATTATATGTAATGCCTCACATTATTTATCCTAAATTTTATGCAGATGTAAGCAATAATATCAGTGAAAAGATTTTACCAAAAAATTAAACCCTATTTAATTGCCTCCATGTACTTAAAGAATGGACTAGAGTAAATCAGGCAAGCTTCTTAGACTTCAGCATTATGCAACGCTACCAAGTCTTACCTTTACTGTCTTCCAACAAGAGTGAGTAAATATGTTGCCGAGCAGGACGGAAAATAAGTGCTTGGCCAGGGAGTTCTGGGTCAAATTCATCTTCCAATGTGTTGCTGCATTCAATTTCTCCACTGCTTAGGATATTGTAGACCAGGTAGCTTTCAGCTTGGACATGGTGTTCCTTAGCTACCTGCTCAAAGTAAAACAAAACAACGTGTTTCTCTTTTTGACAGATCTGTGCCCCAAAATCAGTCAGACATAATCCTGATATCCTGAAAAAAGCTGGGAACTTCAAAAGAAACTAATTAATCATTCAATCTTCAGGTCTCATTGACTGCAATATGAAGAGTTTAATCTAAAAAGATGATTCCCTATAAAGGAGGTACCACCCCTTGCCAGGTATTTTCATGTTTCATTAGGAATAAGTTCACAGCTTGCTATACAAAATGTAGATCCTTTAAGTCTCTGATTTGCACTGAAGATGTAAATGCTAGCAATTTCTGAGTATTATAAATTTTGTGAATGAGAGATGGGTGTTTTTGTGTTATATAAAATAATATGGTGGTCCTGTTAAAGTTGAGATGAGTTATAAAGATATTTGAGTGCATTCTCCCTCTACTGAGCCTAGACAAAATGCAAAGTCTAACTCACTGGTACTATTTCTTCAGAGCAATAAAGTGAGACTAGTAATTTGAAGGTCAGCAGTATGTAAAAACAGATTTTAAAGTTGTTTTAATCCATTATCATATTGTGTTAACTTGATAATCTGACAAACTGAAGATGACCAAGAAATGGAAATTATTTAACACAGATTTAAAAGACAGAAAACTTTTTAAAAAGTTTTGTCTCTTGTTCTCTTTTCAAGGCACAATTACAAAATTTGTTTTCCTGTTTTGTCTCTTTTCATTGGCCTCATTTTAATTATTTCAAAAGGGATAAACATTTTTATTCTTCTTCTTGGAAAAGTATAATTACTTGGTAGGCTGAACACCAGCTAAAATTTCAATTCCAGCTAACATAGCAAGAAATGTGATCTCTTGTGCAGCTGCAGAGAAGAGAGGATGTTAAGTCTTCTACTCCATTTTAATCAACCAAATCTTAAATTCGACATATACAAAATTGAACTTATCTTTCCCTCCCAAATGCTCCTTACTGCCAAATTTCCTTATTATTGTCAAGGACACTAAAATCCTCCTAATCACCGAGGATCACAACCTTGGTGTCATCAACTCTTCTTTCTCTTACCTCCCCACCTCCATATCCAATCTGTTGCCAAAGGCTTGTCGATTGCACCTTGGCAACATCTCTTGAATCCTGGCATAGGCCCTTATCACCTCACGCTTAGACTATTGCAACAGTCTGTGGTGGCTCTATCAGCCATGAGTAGCTCTTTCTCCCCACTCCTGTCCACCCTCTATTCAGCTGTCAAACTGATCTTCCTAAAATACAAGTCTAATCATGTCACCCCACCTAAACACCCCATCCCTACTCCCTAATAAACTCTAGTAGTTCCTATGACCTCTAGGATCAAACAGAAAATCCTATTTGGTATTCAAAGTCCTTCACAATTGTCCCTCCACTCCAATCTTCTTACATTTTATACTCCACCATGTATTATTCTTCAATCCAGTGACACAGGCCTCCGTGCTATTATTCAAACAAGACCCTACATTTTTCAACTGGGCATTTTCACCGACTGTCTCACCTGAATAGAATTCTCTCCCTTCTTCATTGCTGCCTCCTGGCTTTCTTCAAATCCTACTTAAATCCCACCTTCCAAAGGAGGCTTTTCCCAATTACTCTTAATTCTAGTGCCTTTTTCTCTATTAACTATTTCCAATTTATCCTGTATATAGTTTACTTGTTCATAATTACTTGCAAGTTGTCTCCTTATTGAGAATTGTGAGCTTGAGGGCAGTGACCATCTTTTACTTTTCTTTGTATCCCCAATATCTGGCTCATAGTCAGTGCTTAAAAAATGTCTATTGACCAACTCATCTAGGAAGATACTTTTCATGCCTGTCCTCAAATTTAGGTATATCAGATTTTGATGATGTAGACATTTTAACATAATCATTAAATTAAAAGAGGTATAGAGAAAGGTAGTGTTTGACCTGCATCTTGAAGGGAGTAAGATTAGGTAAATTAGAAATATATAAAATAGAATCAAAGAAATTTTGCAGGGTAAGCTTTAATATCTTTGCTGATCAGGAAAGGGCTCTTGTAGGAGGTACCACTTAAGCTGATTTTGAATGATTATGGATCTCCATTTAGAGGCCCTGCAGTGTTTCAGAGCTTAATGTCATAGCACACTATCCAAGAGCAGGAACATGTGGAGGACATCAGCAACTATATGGAATCCTTCTTCAACCTTGACTGTGCAGTGGGTCTCCTCCCTCATAGTGTCAAACAACTTTGGTGAGCAAACATCTCCCCAATCCTGTTCGTCTTTCATTTGGAAGACAGACTTTGAGGTGGTTCGTTCCCCTCAATAAATTTGTTTTTTTAACAATAAATAAGTAAAAGGGTTCTTGTATTTTCCAAATCTTTCAGTCAATGTATGGCGGTACTATGGAATATCTCTTTCAAAATCTTACCTTTTTTCTTCTAATAGCCTCATCAAAGATGTTCTTGGGGCATGTGTAGATTATTTTCATAAGATTTTATGGAGATAGGAAAGTAGGAATGTTAATGTATTCTCTGGACAGGATCTCAAGTGAAAAATTTATTACCTCTTTACCAAATGTCATGGCACAATGGAAAAAGTGCCAGTCTTAAGAGTCAGAAAAATGAAAACTGAGTCTCAACCTGTGTAACCATGGGAAAACTGCTTAACTTCTCTAAATTTTAGTTTTCTCTTTTATAAAATGAGGAAGCTGATTTTGGAAAAATTTCGAACACTAGAAAAGTGACTGAACTGTCCATATCCTTTGATTCATTGATATCACTATTGGATGATGCCTTCTAGGAGCATCTGAGAGCAGAAAACATATATATACACCTATACATGCAAAAAGAACGATAAAAGAAAGACATGATAGCACTTCAAACTGTTGAGTATGAATGTAATGGAATATTACTGAGGCATAAGAAATGACAAATAGGAGAAATTTAGAGACATTTGGGCAGACTTGCATGAACATTTATATAGACAAAGATTTTCCTCAGGACAACTCTATTAGAAGATAATAATGTACTTACTCTCCCTATTTTACAGATGAGGGCAGTGAGGTTCAAAGACGCTAATTGATTTGACCATGGACACAGGTATTAAGTTTCAGAGCTACTGCCAAAGTTAGGTTTATTTATTTATTGCTTCTAACTCTAGTGCTAGTTGCACTATGCTGTTATATCTTGTATGTAATAGCCAGTTCACATTTCATATACTGTAAAAAACTGATTACAAACACCAGCAATCCATCAAAAAGGTACCACCGTCATCTTCATGAGTTAGTACATCTCTATCCCCAGTTTTCCTGAAGAAAATGTTACCAGAAAGTGATCTAAATAATACAACTATGAGCTCTAAATGACTTAAAATAGAGTGATCCTAATTATTTTTCTGTAGGAAATCACAGAAGGCAGATTTATTTGATATTTATATCTACTCCTCCCCCCATGTGTTGAATTAATAATACAAAATTTTTAAAATTATGGTGTTAATGGAGAAAGTTTTAGGAAAACATATAGCCTCTGAATTAGACCCCAATTAAATTGTAAATGGAGTAATTTGTTGAATTGTTAATTCAACAAATATTTAGAGTCTGTTACATGCAAGGAATATGACATTTCTTGCTTGATTAATAGACTGCATGGAAAAGTTGGTGTTTAATTCATCAATATATTGTATTATAATCTAATATAAAAGATATATATTGTAATATATACATATATCTCTAATACAAATCTAGATCCAAAACATTTTCAGTCTTCGAAGAATTTTATCATCATCATAATCTATTTTGCTAAGCAACTTCTAAGACAGGCCATTGTTTTCGTAGCTACAGATTCACTGTGGTCTGAAATTATTCTTGCTGTGAAACACCAGCAAAGAACAAGATCAAAGAGGGAGAAAAAGATGGTACCTCTTTAACAAATGCTTCAAGAATAAGTAATATGTGATGGTTTATTATATCTTCTCCCTATTGCAAATCTTTTGATTTAAATCTCCAATTTTTCCCTCTCCTTCACCTCTCATATCCAATTAGTTGTCAAGTTCTGTCAATTATGCTTCCACAACATCTTTACCATCCTACCCCTTCTCTCCATTCATACAAGCATCTCAGTTCAGGCGCTCATCATCTCTCTCCTTGACCAAAGCAGTAGCTTAATTGGCTTCCTTGCTTCCAGGATCTCTACTCTCTAATATCCACAAAGCTGGTAAATTAATATCCTTAAAGCACAGATCTGAACATATGTTCAGTCATGGATGCCACAGTTTAAGAAAGACATTAATTACCTGGAGAGTGTCCAAGAGGGTGACAAGAATGGTGAAGGGCCTTGAGTCCATTTCATATGATGCTTAGCTGAAGACTTAGAGGGGACAAGAAGGCTGCCTTAAAGCATCTGAGGGACTGTTGTTATAGGGAAGAGGCATTAGATAGGTTCTGTTTTGCCCCAGAGGGCAGCACCAGGGGAGTGGGCAAAAGTTTCCAAAAAGCAAACTTGGAATTGAAATTAGGAAAACCTTCCTAATAATTAGGGCTGTCCAAAAGCAGATTTGGGCTGTCTCTCCAGTGGTATTGAGTTTCCCCTCATGGAGTCCCTCAGAGGCTAAACACTTGCTAGGCATTTCTTTGTGGGGATTTTTTTTTTTGGTATATGTGTCGGACTAGCCATCGGGGCTCCTTCCAGATCTCAAGTTCTGTGATTCTATGACATTTCTTTGTTCTAAAGGCAAATCACTCTTAGATCTGGGATACAACATAAACTCTTGTTTACCATCCTTTCCACTACCTCACATTACTCCTCTTTATCTGCTCTACATTCCAGCCCAAAGAGAGCCTGTTTGTTTTTCCCTGTATACAACATTCAATCTCCTGCCTCCATGCCTTTGTACACAGTGCACTCCAAGCTAGGCCTGCTTCCCCTCCTCACCTCCATCTATTGGAATCCCTCACTCCAATGCTCAATGCAACCTTCTATACATGACCTTGATCACCCCAGTTGTCGAGGTTCACCCTCACCAAAGCACTTTGTATGTTTTGTAATTACTTATCTTTGTCCATGCTGTTTCTCACAGGAGGAAGTAAGCTCCTTGAGGACAGGGATGTTTTCATTTTTGTTTGTATCCCCACTGCCAACACCAGTACCCAGTACATACAATGTGCTCAATAAATAAATGCTCGTTGTATTGAATTGTTGAATTCCTGGATGACCTTGCCTATTCTGCTAATATTCAGAGGTCCCTTATTTATACTCCTCTCTACCTCAAAACATTTCTGTCTCTATACCAATTCTCTTTTTTTTTCTGAAATCTCTTCACCTGTATTCTCTGTCCCATTCTTCTTTAGCTTCTTACAGACCTTGTCTCTTCCCTGATTCTCCCCCACCATCTTCAAACTCCCTCTATCCATTTCTTCCCCTTTGCCTACAAATACATGTCTCCCTATCTCGACCAAAACTCTCACTTGCTCTTGCAGCTACCAGCTCTCAATTGTTTACTTCCTTCCTTCTACTGCCAAACATTTTAGATATGTGGTTTGTACCCATTGCATGCATTTCCTCAGTTCCTCCTTGTTTCTTAATTTCCTACAATCTGACCTTCAACCCTCTATGCTAATGAAACCGCACCCTCAAAGATCAGCAATGATTTCCTAATTGCTAAATCCAATGTTTTTCCTCCCTCAGACCTCACTCTCTCTCTTATCACCACATGGCATCCCCTTCATCTATAAACTTTCTAATCCCTTGATGGTATTACATGACATGATCCTGGTTGCTCCCTACCTCCATGAAAACCCTTTTATTATTTTCTCTTTTATCTCCTGACCCTTAAACGTGACCATTTTCCAAATTCACTTCTTAGCCCTCTGCTATTTTGCTGTCTGTAGCCTATTTCTTGGAGGTATCATTCACCTTCACAGGCCTCAAAAATCTTTATTCAGATGATTCTCAAATTTGTATTTCTAGCCCTACCCTCTTTCTTGACCTCCAGCACTCCATCTTCAAATGTTTATTGAAGAGTTCCTATCGGATGTTCTGCTGGCACCTTAAACCTGACATGCCTAAAACCAAATAAATTATCCTTCTCAAAACAGCTTCATCTACCTTCCTTCTTTCTTGCATACTTACATTCCTCCTGGACCCTTTCCCTCACCACCTAGTTATCTAATCAGTTACCATTCCCTTCTAATTCTTCTTTTGTAATGTCTTCCACATCCCAATTCAGGCCCTTTCCCCTCACATCTGAACTACAGCTATTATCTTATCCCATCCCATCTTCTTGCCTCTGATATCTCCCTTCTCCAGGCCACCAAGCACAACATCACCATCTTCTGAAAACATCACTTTCTTCAAGAAACCTCTCAACAAGGGCCTTAAAGGTTTCCCATTACCTGCAGAATAAATGCCAAATATCTAGCCTGACTTTCAATGCCCTATATACTCTCATCCCAAACTACATTTCCAACCTATCTTTCATAGCTCCCCTACAAAAATTCTAACTCAAAATTCCCCTGGGGAACCTAAATTGTTCTCTTCACTGTTCCTCAAACATGTCTAGTGCATTCTGGCCTCCTCACTTTTCACTCGTGCTATACTCCCTCCCTGGAATCCATCCTCTGTCTATTCAAATTCCACCCTTCCACCCATCCTAAAATTTGAAGTCCTATCTCATCAAGAAGATTTTCCTGCCTATAATAGTCCAAGGTGATAGCTGCTCTATGGAAGTACTATTTTCTAAAACATTCTGCATTATTAAATACCACCTTGTAGTTTTAATTAAACATTACATATGCATTTATCTCATCTCCCTAAAAAAAACTTTAAGGTCTTTGAGGGCACAGACCTTTACTTTTGTGTATCTCCCTCACCCTTAAAGGACCCAAAACATTGCCTTGTTATACAACAAATATTTGTTGAATGACATTTTTAGTCATCACGTATTAAATCTGGGTGAATATATCCAAGTACCTGCAAAATCTCTGGGTCTGACCACATGATTACTTCTTGCTTGTCTGATGTTTCCAAGCTGGGTATCTGGAGAAGCCAGGGGGATTGTTGCCCTGGAAGGAGATAGGATGCCACCCCTCTACAAAACACAGTTTTATTTCGTCCCAAAGGTAACATCTCTTCCAGGTCTTTCAACCCCTGCTGCAAGTGGAGTACTCTAGTTATGTAGTCTGCCACAGCAAGAATTGTGTTAGTTCTCTTGTCGTTGTTCTGTTTAGCAGAGGAATAACCAGACAGGCATTTTTGCCGAAAACTTTCCAACATGCCTTCTGGAACTGTATCATTGCCCAGTAGGCAGGCCAAGAGAGGAAGATCTGTTACATTGAGACCCAGGCTATGGCAAAGGTTCTCTCTTGAGAACATAACAGTAACAAGACAGTCAAGGTGGAGCTTACTAATAGAAAAGTAAGGGCACGTATTAAAGATGAGATAGTCGGTATCTTCTCCAAGAATTCCCAGGCAGTTATTTTGGAGACCATAAGAAGCCACTTCATAGTCTGCCTCTTGTAATGAACACACAGTTTCCTGACCCAGAGACTTTAAAGCAAAACGTGTAAATGTGGCCAGCCCCGAGGGAATGAAGAACATATCTCTGCCTGGTTGCCGCCTATGGGTCTTCATGAACTGAAAGATTCTAGATATCTCCTTGTTGTTCCTGAGTCTCCGTTTCACCCATTCATGTCTCTTTTTCTGCTCTACCACACCATCAAAGAAGAATACCAATTTGATGCCTGCTGTAGTAAAAGCTTTAATGAAATCTTCTAAGACAGAAAGGTATTCCAGCCACTGGCCACCACAAACCCAAGATTCTGGTGTATACCAATGTCTAAGACAACACATGGCATCAACAACAATTACAGGAATGCATCCAGGTTGGTGAATTTGGTATTTTTCTGCCATTTCTTTCAAATTTACTACTGTACATACACTGGGACAGGCATTAGCCACAAATCCATGTAAACCTCTCACACCCATTGTTGAAGTCGTGATATTAATCTGAAAATAAAAATAAATATGGTTAATCATTCTGTTAACGCAGCCCAAAAAAGTATCTTTCAAGTCAAATGCACAATAATATACAATCTGTATATACAAAGTTCATCTTCTGCAGAGGGGTAGCTTTACCTCAGACAAAAATATGTACTGGTTTAGAGCTTTGGGAGGTTTCAGATAGAAAGTGAAGAATACCATATTAACTTGAATAAAGCTGGAATTAACTAGAATAAAATATAGCTACTCAAGCTCAAAACTTCACTAACACCCTCTATAATTACTTGGGTTGGAATTCAGGAAGGACAATGGTAATCATCTAAGATCTCCATTGAGGCTATTGCTTCAACAAATTCTTAAGCCAAAAGCCAGAACAGAAATATACTTTCCAAAAAGTCAATGTCTCAATTCTGGGCATTTTGAATAGAAACAGTGAATTTTTAAAAAGCCACCTGGCCAAGTGATGGTCATAACTAAGGAATATAAGATCATAGATCTTAAATTAAAAGGACCTCAGAGGCCCCCTATCCCCCATTTTACAGATGAGGAAATTAAGATCAAAAGACATTCAATGACTCGCCCAAGGTCACGGAGATAAATGATCCTCGGAGGTGGAACATGAACCCCAGTTCTCTGAATTTAGAGTCGGTGCTATTTCCGTTTCCCATAAAATAACAATATAAGAGAATCTAACTTATGTGGAAAACTAGTTCATTGTTGTTTTTTTTTTATTTTAGAAAAAAACAAAACAAAACTTGAAATTCAGCATTTAAAAAAAATTTTAAGCAAACCATTCACTATATACATTCAATCAGATAATAATGGTCCATCAATAATCAGAAAATGTACCACTAGCATTTTTATTCTCAACATCATGATTATTTAATTAAGGATTCAGTTACCCTTAGGGGCTCTCATCATATCAAAAAGATGTTTTTAGAACAATATTTAAGAACCAAAGAATAAATCCAAGTACATTTTATAACTTTGCTAAGTATAGTAAAAACTGTTTTGATATGCTAATAGTTCCTAAGAAGAAGAGCAACTAACAGTTAAATAAGACACTGAGTTAAGCAAAGGTGCCAAAAGGAAATATTAGCTATTATCCATGACATATAAGCAAAGGCATGAATAAATTCTTCATATTAACAGTGTGTGAGAAACCTCAGCCATGATGACAATATGATACTTTGTACTTAGATAATATATTTCTTTCAAAATCTGAAAGTATATCAGAATCTCAATATAACAGTTATATGTAATCTATATATGTGTATATACATGTGTGTGTGTATATATCTACCTATACACGCATACATATACATACTCATACAACTAAATTCCCTATGTGGCAGAATTTAGTATAAGAAGATCTCAGATTCTATCCAAGTGTACTACATTGTACAATAATCTCACATATAAACTGAGCAAGGCGTTATCTTCATTTAAGAAGGGATATAGGGACCAGAAGGAAGTTATTAAGTGAATTAGGCCATGTAAGAACAGAAAACAGTCATCTGGTTTCTCGAGTCCAATCATGTAAACTTAATCTATTTCTAATAAATAGTCCAAAGTTATAGTAGTTGAATGTTCACAAATCTGGGTTCTGACTCTTACTGCTTCCTACCCATTCCAACATGTGGAGTCTCTCTCAAGGAAATGGGATGGCCTCAAACAGAGCATGAAGCCATAGGAATCTGGCCCCTATTATAACTATGGAGCTTATCCTGCTCCCATAGTTACTTGGCAGTGATGCTTAAGATGCAAATGAAGCCAACACAAACACTGTGGAGATAAATTTGGGAGATGGAGCAAAAATAAAACCCTCACTCACTCCCACCTTTTAGAGAAACACTGGCTCTCATTTGGGCTGTAGCTTCTGTCACATTTGGGTTGGCTGCCTTTCTTCACTAATAAAGGGATTTTTGTTTCAAGTATTTTCTACTGAAAACTGCAAGTGACAACACTGAATTTCTGAAAACATTCTCCTCTTTATTTTGCAAGGAGACAGGCTCAGTCTTTTGCTTTGATTTTATTCAAATGTTTTCCTCCTTTCTCAACCCAGTGAAAAAATTCACTGAATGTTTTAATTAAGCAGGTACAAGTTTTTCCTGTCTTTCACACTGCTGATTTCTCACATTTTGAATCACAAATTACTGCAGGAGTGTTACATTACAATGTGCTCTACAGTGGCATTTAAAAAGAAAAATTTGGTTAGGGTTGGGAACTTGGGACATTAAAGGGTGGCTTTGGGTATTTGGGCTCCACCAAAGCTTTAAAAATATTGGCCCCCTTCATCCTTTAAGTGCAGTTTCCAAACACCAACTTTTATGTTGTGGGAAATGAAATGTTTAACATGATAGAGAAAAACTGTGACTATTACTATTGCCAAAAAAGATGCGTTCTCTTTTTTAAGCCTTTCACTACTAAAGGCAAACCACTCGGGCTTTGCTCTTGCATATGCCAGACATGCTAGTAAATTTGGCATGACAATGTACACACACACACATATATGTATACATATGTATACACAGTTACTGTAGAATGACTGAGGGCTGACACCCAGCAAGTGGCAGAGTAAGTGAAATACTGTTTCTTCTCTATTTTATCCTGTTCTATAAATAAATATTCCATGGAAAAAAATTCTATAGGAAGCAAGATAGTGTAATGCAGGCATGGAGAACCTGTTTCAGAGTCAGAAAGACTTGGGTTAAAGTCCCACCTCTGACACATACTGTACATACATATACAGGCTCCCTGAGACTGTAAGCTCCTTGAGGCTGGGACTATATTTTGCCTCTGCCTAGTGCTTAGCACAGTACCTGGTATGTAGTAGGCACTTAATATGTTTATTGATTGCCTGGTACAAGCCGTGTGACCCTCAACAAGTTATTTACCTCTCAGTGCTCTAAGCAACTGTTAAACTTCCAGCTGTCACCCTAAACTTGAAGATAAATTGCAGGGAAGGTACTGATTTGAATTAGTAGAGGAATAGTTCCCTTTGCCAATGAAATCACAGGTCCAGTTTCTTTTTTATAGATATTTTTAGTGCCATGAGTAAAAAAGTCCTTTAAGGGATAACTGAATAGAACTCTGGAAATCTTTGGGGGAAAACTCCCAAACCCAAAAAACTGACTCACTAGGATCAGAAGATGCTGTTAGAAAGATAGCTAGAGAGTAACCATGAATAAATCATAAAGTAACAGCATTTTAGAGACAAGATCTAAGATCTCAATCACTCCATTAATCTTCTCATTGCAGACATGAAAAAACTGAGGCTTGATAGGCTAAGTGACCTGAATAAAATGAGAGAACTAATTAGAGCAGAACCAAACAATTCAGAAACACTTTTCTAGAAAAATTTCGTAAATAGTTTAAAATGAGGCAATCTTTTTGAGTTTCCATGTATTATTTAGAAAAGAAGTTCTTAACAAGGGTTATGTAGATATATTTCAGGTAGGGCTGAGAATATTAAAAAATGTTTTTGACAACTGTGTTTCAATATAAATGGTTTCTTTTGTAATCTTGTGTTTTTGTGTTTTATTTTACGCATTTAGAAAACAGTATTCTGAGAAGGAGTCCACAGACTTCACCAGACTGCCAAAAGGGTACATAACACAAAACCCCTAATTTAGAAGAATTTAAGAAAAATAGTATGGTCAATCTAAGTTATTCTAGAAGCTGGCATTAGATATTCACCATATAAAGAGTGTGGATTGGTGCCTGCAGAGCTACAGGTATACATGCAGACAGTAAAAGTGAAAAGATGTGCACTTAACAGACCTAATGAGCCCTAGCTGGAAAGAACTGGTATACATAGTGAAACATTCAAAACCGCATGTGCTTATTTTATTAAAACAAACATACATATTCATTAGTGATTAAAATAACCAGAATACTTCTCTTACAGCTAAGTAAAATGTTTTACATATGTATGCATACACACACACACATACATACATATTTCTTTCTTTTCTTTCTTTCTTTCTTTCTTTCTCTTTCTTTCTTTCTTGGTGATAACAATCCTACTCATATTGTGGCAAAAATATTTCCAAATATTTCCATCAAAATGTTTATCTCCCAATGGTTCCACAAATGTGTTTCAATTAATTTTGCCATATCTCAGAAAACAATAGTGATTATATTCTGTTGACAAAAATAGCTAAATAAATCACTAATTTGAAATTAAAGTTGTTATCTAGCTCTAAAAGGTAAAACAAAACATTTTTCTCTCCCCCCAAGGCCCCAACCCTTCAATTATAATAAACTTAACCTTATTTCCTGATCTAAGTCAGGTTATCCCACTCCTTATCAAGGTCTTTCTCCTATGGACTGGATCCCATTCTATGACCTTGCTAATATAGTCATTCTTCCTCTCTCATTCAGTTTTAATCTCTCCTTCTCTTCTGGTTCTGTACCACCTGTTTTCAACCTTAGGTTCAGGTCTTCCTAAACCTAAAAGAAGTCCTTCTTTTGATTATTCTACTCCTTTGGGTGCATCTCTCCTCTACCCTACCTGTCACTGCCAAACACATATGTATCCAAGACTTCCATTTCTTTCTTACTATTCACCCACTCCTCAAATTCTTGCAATGATTTGTCTTCCATTCTCATCAGTCTACAAAAACTGCTATCTCAAAGATCACCAACGACTTTACTGCCAAATTCAAAGGTCTTTTCTCAGTCCTGACTATCCCTGATTTCTCTGCAACATCTGATCCTGCTGGCTACTCTCCCTCCTTTTTATTTTAGCCCTTCTTGGCTTTAGTGACAATACATACAGCTCTGATTCTATGACCTTATTTGTATCTATGATACTCAACACTTCTGCTTTTCTCTTTAATTGCTCTTTTCTTCTATGATTTAATATTGGTGTCATTCAAGGTTCTGCCTCTCTTTGCCTATTATATTCTCTCACTATACTTCCTCCCCTCCCTGCCCATCAGCAGTCCTTCCCATTCCCACAGCTTTAGTTATTACCTTTATTTATGCTCATGACTCCAGATCTCTATCTCTAGTTTGGACCTTTCTCCTGAGCTACAGACCTATACTGTCAAATGCTTAACAGACTCAGTCAATGCAACAAGCATTTATTAATGCCTATTATGTGCCAAACACTATAATAAGTCCTAGGATATAAAGAAAGGCCAAATGAAAAAACAAACCAACTAAAAAGCACACATTCTAATGAGAGTGACATGTAAATAACTAGGTATATAACTATATACAGAGTAGATGGAAGGAAATATGAAAGGGGATGGCATTTGAAGCTGATAGAACTGGGAAAGGCCTCCTGCAGAAGGTGGACTTTGAGCTGAACCTTGAAGAAAAGCAGGGAAACTAAGAAGCAGAGGTGAGGGGACAGAACATTGCAGACATGAGAGACAGCTACTAAAAAGACATAGAGATAAGAAATAGAGTATTGAGTTTGAAGAATAGTAGGTAGAGTAGTGAAGCTGGATCACACAGAACATAGAAAAAAATTAAATGCAAGAAATTATCCAAAAACAAACCAAATTACATTCAATATAATTCTGTATATAAAAGTGTGGATGATTTGGAACTTAGGATTGAGACCACAAAGGCAACTCCAAGAGTATTCCAGGAGAAGAATCATCCCTGGTGGTGAAAATTGAAAGATTCAGAAGGGCCGACTTCTGCTACTCCACTTTTTGGGAATGTGAGTTGGTGAGAGCCAGAAAAAGAGGCAGCAAGTAAAGGAAGAGAGTGATGTAAGACAATTGACTAAAACAAGAGAAACCTTTTAGAAAGATTTCAAACCCAAAATGGTTAAGTTTCTTAAATTTTGTTATCCTGAACAACTCATACACCTAGGATTCTAGATAACCAAAGCTTTACTACCTTTACACAAAGGCCTTCATAATGCTGGAGTTCAAGGATCAAATTAACATGCCTTTTTGCCTCTGAACTTTTTACTCATAGCTTTTCCTCCACTTGTAATGCCCTTCTCCCTGACAATTCTGCATCAAAATCCTCCTCATCCTACAAGGTCCAAGTTTCACCTTAATAAATACATTGATATTATAACAAGTTTTTACTATGTGTACTTACTTTTGGGAAATATAGCAGTAGCATCTACATTTGGAGTTACAAAATCGGAGTTTGAGTCCTGGCTCTGAAACTTACTAGCTGTGTAACCTTAGATTGTTACTTAAACCTTCTGAGTTTGCTTCCTCATCTGTAAAACTAAGATGGTCATATACACTGTGTACTACCTTTCTTGGAGGGTTATTGTAAGGATCCAATATGATAATGTGGCAAAGTACTTTGTAAATCATAATGTACTATATCAAGGTTAGTTTTGATAATAGAGATGATGATCTGAGATATAGAGAATTATAATTATCTGTATTATAATGGGCTATAATTAAAATAGGTTCTATGTTTTTTATAACACTTAATGCTCCTTAGAGGAAAAACCAGGAACTGGTTTTAATTTCCTAGTTTCTGCCCTGATGACAGTATACAATTTTCAGCTGGTCACTGAACCTATTCAATTACACACACACACACACACACACACACACACACAAAATTTGCTTCTCAGAATTGGAGGATTCTAAGTGCTCCTCAGTTATAAAGTTCTTTAAAATATACTTATGTTATCAAATGTTTATTCTTAAGTAGGTGTTGACATTTACACTATATACATCTTTATGTGCATAATTCTTGTGTTGTTCTCTCATCATTCACCTATTACCTCACAAAAACACTGACATATAAAAAGAAATGAAATGAAAAGTCATTTTACACTTCTGCTTTTTGAATATCTATAAAACTCAACTGCCAACATTTGGGTAGTCCCGTTTTCAACTTAAACCCAATAAATACTTACTAAAATGAATTATAATAACATATAAAGCTAGTTTCCAGAAAAATGTAAGCTCTTTGGGGAAACGGGCTGACTTTTGCCTATCTTTTAAAATCCCAGGGCTTGTTTTTGTGGTGGCAAAGAACTGAAAATTGAGAGGATGCCCATCAATTGGGGAATGGCTGAGCAAGTTGTGGTATATGAATGTAATGGAATACTATTGTGCTATAAGAAATAACGAACAGGCTGAGTTCAGAAAAACCTGGAAAAACTTGAATGGTCTGATGCCGAGTGAAGTGAGCAGAACCAACAGAACGTTGTATACAACAACAGCCATGTATGACTAACATTGATAAACTTAACCCTGCCCAGCAATACAAGGATCTAAGATATCTCCAAAGGCGTTGTGATAGAAAAAGCTATCCACTTCCAAAGAAAGAACTATGGAATTTGAATTGCTATTTTTTTCTCTTCTGTTGAGTTTTGTTTCTTCTTTCTGGTGGTTCCTCCTATTGGTTCTAATTTTTACTTACAACATCACTAATGTGAAAATATGTTTAATAAAATAAAATAAAAATAAAATCCCAGTGCTTAGAACAGAGTAGGCACTTAATAAGTGACAGTTGACTGACTTTTTCTATTTGATAAACTATCATTCTATGGATCTTTACTTGAAGGAGGTAGCAACCCTGTAATGAAACAATGCTAACAAAGTTATTTCACCAGCAAAGGAGTTCCCTCAACTCATTTCCCTCTGAGATGACGTCCCATTTACACTGTATTCATCTTTATGTGCATAATTTTTGTGTGTTGTCTCCACCATAAGAAAGTGAGCTCCATGAAAAGGGTTGTGTTTTTGTCTTTGAATCCCTAGCGTTCCCTTCACACAGTGGCTGTCACATAAGTTGACTGACTGACTAAACTTTTTAACCTAAAAAATAGAATACTGCCAAAAGCTGTGAAAATGACTGGTTTAGTTCTCAAAGTCAGAAATCCAAGCTATTATTAATTAAATGAAAAAATGCTCCAAATTGCTAATAATCAGAGAAATATACATTAAAGCAACTTGAAGGTTCTATTTCATACTCATAAGGTTAATGAAATTGACAAAAAAAGGATCTGACAAATGATATAGGGGCTGCAGGAAAACTGGTACATTAACACACTGCTGGTGGAGCTGTGGATTGGTCTAGACATTCTGGAAAGGAATTTGGAACTATGCCTCAAAAGTTACTAAACTGCGAAAACCTTTTAACTAAACAATACCACTCCTAGGTCTGTCCCCCCAAAGAGACTGAAGAAACAAGAATTTGGGGATGGCTGAACAAATCCTGATATATGAGTATAATGGAATACTGTGTTATAAAAAGTGATGAAGGGGATAGTTTCAGAGAAATCTGGGACAACTTGAATGACCTGATGTCAAAGTAAAGTGAGCAGAGCAGGAGAATAATTTATACAATAACACCATTGTAAAGATAATTTTCAAAGACTTAAAAACTGGAGTCAACTCGATGACCAATCACAATTCCATTAGACCTAGGATGAAATACGATTATCACCTCCTGATAGACAAGACACAGGGTGCAAATTCAGAAATATTTTTTTGGACATGGTCAGTTTGGGAATTTGTTTTGCTTGACTGTCATGAGAGTTTTCTTTTTCTTCTCTTTTTTTTTTAAATGAGAAGAGGAGGGATAAAATAGATTTGTGTTCAAATGAAAAAAAATTAAATTAAAAAAATGAAAATGCCTGGTTTCCAATCTGCTTCACCTGGTACCCTGCTGCAAAGACTTGTATGAACATAATAATATAATCATCTCACTGACTTTACCCATTTTAGTTATATGGGTACTGAAAAAAAGTTCTACAATAATGTAGTTCTACAATATAGATAAATACCTAATTATAATTCTGGTATACGACAAATCATCTTTTATCATCATAACTAACATTCATATGGTGCATTATGGTTTACAAAGTACTTAGTCTACATTGTTTTATTTGATTCTTACCATAACCCTTCGAGATAGATAGCATACAAACAAACAGAACAAGAGGTGTTCTGGACAGGGAAAGACACATACATATGTGGTAGCATCAGAGATGATTCAAGGACACAATTATGGGAGGGAGGGCAATGTTCTCAGGACACAAGGTGTACAGTTATGGTAAGAAGGGGGTTAAGAGAGAAGAAGTGGTGGATACTATAGATTCCCAGATAAAAGACCTGGTTTCAAATCAAGCTCTATTACTGACTTCAATTTACTTCACCTCCCTGGCGGGCTTCAATTTCCAATAATTCCAAAACGCTATAGATCATAGTACACAGCAGGAGGGCGGAGCAAAGTCTATGATAAGGAGGCAAGACATCTCCTGTCAAAGATGGGGGAGTCAAAGGGCACAGCCCGGGAAAGCAAGGACTGGGGATGGGAAGGAGGTATTAAGAGAACACCGTTGTGATAGGGGAAGGGAGGGGATCAGGGAGGTCGGAGACGAGGCTCTCCGATTCTCCCCCGCCCCCACCACGGCTGTGAGGGGTGAGGTGGGGAGGGTCGTCTTTAGGGAAATGGGGAGGGTGGGCTGGTGACGGAATTAGCACACGGCAGATCATGAAGCTGACAGAGACATGGGAGGCGGAGGGAGACGCATGCACGCAAGGCCCACATGCAAAAGAGGGAAAAACACCGCAGGGGAGCCAACCCACGGAGGCCTGGCCCTACCTAGCGACAGCACCAGGGTCCAGTTTGCGACTCACACCTCGCTCTCCCTCCCCAGGCACCGCCGGGCCGGTCGTGCCTCCCCTTCCACTTCCGCTTCCGTTCAGGGGAGCCCTCCTCCCCAGCCTCGCGCTCCGCGCCGGGCGCGAGTGCGCAGGCGCAGCGGGTGCCCAGTTCCCTTGGCAAAGGGTTGTTCCCGCTAGGAGAAGGAACGGGGCCTAGAGACCCTTCTCGGGGCTCGGTGGCTGCTCATTGCGGGGAGCGGTCGGCGGGTCCATTTTGACCTGGTTTACGCCAATCTTGGATGTCTTTGTAACTGATAAGGAGAACCTTCTGGGGTTGTTGTTAGAGCTGTGGGCCGGGGAGAAGCTTCCATGCGAGACTGAGTTCAGGGGCTTCTCCTGTCAGTCAATCACTCAGTAAGCATTTATTAAGGGCTTACTTCGTTCCAGTGCTAAACTCTGGGATACAAATAAAGGTGAAAAAGGACAGCCCCGGACTTCAAGGCGATCACATCCTAACGGGGGAGAAAAGGTGCAAAAAATTCTGTATAAACGAGATACGTACGGGGCAAACTGGAAGTCATCTCCAGGGAAAGGCACTAGCATTAGGGGGAACATGGATAGGGTCTCGAAGAAGGTGGGGTTTTCATTTCCGAGTATGGGGTACTCTTTGTGCATCTGTTTCTCCTGGAGGTAAACCAAGGCATCTCAAACTCAACATAATAGCCAGCATTCATATAGTACCTACTACCCGATTGAATGTTTTACAAATATTACCACTTAATCCCCACAACAATCCTGGGAGGTTGGTGCTATTATTATTCTTATTTTACTGTGAGGAAACTGAGGCAAACAGAAGTTACTCGATTTGCTCAAAGTTTCTTAGTAAGTGTCTGAGGTCACATTTGAACTCGGATTTTTCTTACTTCAGACCCAGCACTTTACTTAGCCTCTCTGCTACCCAGCTGCTTCATGTACTAAAAACATATCCTAAGTTACATATTAGCTAAAGTCCTAGTTAAGGACCCACTTCTAGACTAGGAGTGGGTAACCCACATGTGGCCTTCTAGGTTCTTGGGTTCAGCCTTTTGACTGAGTCCAAGTTTTACAGAACAAATCCTTTTATTAAGGGGATTTGTTCTGTGAAGTTTGGATTCAGTTAAAGGGCTGAACTTGAGGACCTAGAGGGCCACATGTGGCCTTGAGACTACAGGTTCCCCACTCAGGCCCTAGACATTAAATATCCTAAACAGAACTCTTACCCCAAGCCTTACTTCTTCCAAACAGCTAAAATGGATCTTGAGAGTGAAAAGGGACTTTAGGGATAATTTAGTCTATTTTTAAAGACCAACCTGGTTTCAGGTTTTGAGAAGTTAAGTGAATTGTGTAATGGCAGAGCTGAAGCCTTAGGTATTATAACTAGCCACTTCCCCTGCCCCCCAGTGTTTTAAGACCTCTCCTCGCTTGCTGTGATTTGAATCTAAAACTTAATATGAATTCGTGTGGTCATCTGAGAAGCACTACAGCTTTTGACTCTGTCCATCACCATGTCTTTTGTATACTCTTTCCTTTCTAGGCTTTCATGACACTTCTGCCTCTGGTTCTCTTTCTGCCTAATAGGTCCTTCTCAATCTCCTTCCCT